CCCAGGTCCCAACTAAACATCCTGCATGCCACAACAGAGATTGAAGGTTCCACACGGTGCAACTAAGACCTGGCACAGTGTAATAAATAAATAAATATTTTTTAAAATAAAAAAGCCCCCCTAAAGCTGTATTACCCTCTGATATGGAAATGGTTGTCTTTTGATACTGATATTTTAAACAAAAAATAAATTGGGAATGAGACAGGAAAACCTTCAGAAAAATGTACTCAACTCAGTCAATTCCTCACCTGCACAGGAGCTAAAAACTATTGATCCTACCTCTTCCCTTTTCCTCACTCCCCTCCTCTTCACTCCCCTCCAACTCAGCACAACTCATCTGCTCCATCATTGTAATCACTCCCTTGCACACGCCTCCAGTCCTTGGCTCACTCTAGGTTTGCTTACTTGCCTGGTGAAAACTCTGACTCAGCCAGTTCCCCATGCCTCATGTCTGTACCTGGCACATAGTAGATGAATAATGAATATTTATTAGGTGAATTAATTTTTTTTTTTCTCTGCACTATGTGGCTTGTGGGATCTTAGTTCCCTGACCAGGGGTTGAACCCGGGTGCCAGGAGTGAAAGTGTGGAGTCTTAACCACTGGATATTGATAACTGTGTGCATGCTCAGTCGTGTCTGACTCTCTTCAACCCCATGGGCTGTAGCCTGCCAGGCTCCTCTGTCTGTGGAATTCTCCAGGCAAGAATACTGGTGTGGTTTGCCATGCCCTTCTCCAGGGGATTGTCCTGACCCGGGCATCTAACCCAGGCCTCCTGCATTTAGGGCAGATTCTTTACTGTCTAAGCCACCAGGGCCTCTATCCTGTTATATAGCAACTCAATCCTTAACATTTATCTTCAGGATTGAAATGGAGGTACACAAATTCAGATGTAAGCTGCTTTTTCAGCGTGGTGTCATTCAGAATAGTGAACAACTGAAATAACTTAAGTGTCCAACTACAAATGACTGGCAAAATTATTATATAGCCATGTGAGAAAATATTCCTCAGTCTTCTAATTATTGTTGTTGTTGTTTAGTCACTCAGTTGTGTCCAACACTTTTGCAACCACATGAACTATAATCTGCCAGGCTCCTCTGTCCTTGGGATTTCCCAGGCAAAGACACTGGAGTGGGTAGCCATTCCCTTCTCCAGGGAATCTTCCTGACCCAGGGATCAAACCCTTGTCTCTTGCGTCTCCTGCAATGGCTGGTGGATTCTTTACTAACTGCACCACCTGGAAAGCCCCTTAACCACTGGACTGTTGGGGAATAACATTTTTGTTATTTGCGAGAGGTGCCTCTCACCCCACCACAAGGAGAAGTCCTTGGGCCACAGCTAGAGTAAGCCTTTGCACCCCAATGAAGCACCCACAGCCTGCAACTAAGACCCAGCACAGCCAAAAAGTACTAACAAGAAATGGTCCTCATAGAATAATCCCCAGCAATAAAAAGGAACAAACTACTGCTAACCACAGCAACTTGGATGGATCTCACAGGCAATACTAAGCAAAGAAAATGACAAAATTATAGACTCGGAGAACAGAGGAGTGGTTGCCAAGGGCCAGGGGAGGTGGAGAAAGGGATGGGCGTGACTCTCACAGAGCACCACAAGGAACAGCTTGATGGTGGTGGAATGGTTCCACACCTTGATTATGACGGTGGCTGCAAGATTACACATGTGATAAAGTTAGAGAGATACCTGTTAAAACACAGGACACCCAGTGAAGTTTGAATTCCAGATAAACAGAGGATAACTTCTTAATCTAAGTGCGTCCCAAAGAGTGCATGGACTCCCCTGGTGGCTCAGATAGTAAAGAATCTGCCTGCAATTCAGGAGAGCTGGGTTCATCCCTGGGTTGAGCAGATCCCCTGGGGGAGGGCATGGCAACCCACTCTAGTATTCTTGCCTGGAGAATTCTATGGACAGAGGAGCCTGGTGGGCTACAGTCCATTGGGTCACAAAGAGTCGGACACAATCAAGCAACTGACACTTGCATTTTCATATTTTCACCAAAAACAAATTTTTAACTGAGTGTCCTGTATTTGTATTTGCTATATCTGGTAATCCTAGATAACATGGCATAGAAATATACACACACACTTCACCAATGTCACTGGCCCAGCTGTGGTGTTGTACTGCAGTTGTGTAACATGGAACCACTGGGGGATATCTGGTTAAGGGTACATGGGGCCTCTCTGACTATTTCTGCGAATGTATAATTATTTCAAGATAAAAAGTTTTTTTTCATGACCCTCCAAAGAAAACCAACTGTTTCTGTTGGTGATTAAAACAAAGAGATATAGGGAAGTGCTGCTTATTAACCTTGGGAGCTTTATGGGGCACTGTAAAACCAGAACTTCACAAAGGTATTAAGGTGTTTCCCTCTCAAATATCAGTGATCTTGTGTAGTTATTGACAGTATGACAGTGGTTATGTGTGAGGGCTCAGGATCAGACACCCCTAGGTTCAAGTTCTGGCTCCTCTGTTGACTGGCCATTTGCAGGGCTGTGCTGGAGGCAGCTCACGCTCCCACCCCTTCCAACTCCACATTCAATGACAGCAGGCTGATGGCTTGAGACTGGCCTAGGAGTATCCACACTACAGTGATTGGCACATCCTACAAATCAGGGCTTTGTTTTTTCCTCCAGAAAGCAAGCTGTTAAACATTTACCATCATACCAACATCAACAGATGTTGAACCTCAATTTCCTCATCTGTAAAATGGGGGAAAGTGAAAGTGAAAGTCACTCAGTCATGTCCAACTCTTTGCGACCCCATGAACTATAGCCTACCAGGCTCCTCCATCCATGGGATTTTACAGGCAAGAATACTGGAGTGGGTTGCCATTTCCTTACCCTACTATATGGAAAGTAGGTAACAATAAGGACCTAGTGTATAGCACAGGGAGCTATATTTAATATCTTGTAATAACCTATCATGGAAAAGAATCCGAAAAGGAATATATATATTCCTTTTATATGCCTGCCTGCCAATGCAGGAGACATAAGAGATGTGGGTTCGATCCCCAGGTTGGGAAGATTCCCAGAGGAGGGCATGGCGGCCCACTCCAGTATTCTTGCCTGGAGAATCCCATGGACAGAGGAGCCTGGTGGGCTACAGTCCATAGGGAATTCAGTCCATGGAATATATACAGTCAATATATTATATATACTATATATATATATAACTGAATCATTTTGCTATACTCCTGAAACTAACACAGCATTGTAAATTAATTATATTTCAATAGAAAAAAGATTAAGAAAAAGTTGCATGCATGCTAAGTCACTTCAGTTGTGCCCAACTCTTTGTGACCCTATGGACTGTAGCCCACCAGGCTCCTCTGTCCATGGGATTCTCCAGGCAAGAATACTGGAGTGGGCTGCCATGCCCTCCTCTGGGAATCTTCTCAACCTGGGGATCGAACCCGCATCTCTTATGTCTCATGCATTGGCAGGCAGGTTCTTTAACACTAGGACCAACTAGGAATCCCAAGAAAAAGTTAGCTGTTATTATTTCCTCAGTCTTATCTCTCATATTAAACTGTGAGCAACTTGAGAGCAGGTTTATGCCTTACTCACCTTGATATCTTTAGTGACTGGCACAGGGCCTGAAACACAGTAAGTGTTAAACAAATGTTTGGGAAATTAATGAACAAACCACAAATAGTAGTGACTTGAGGTGCTATACCTCCAGAAAATGTACATTTTACCAGAGGCCTTTAATCTTGGAGGTTTCAGGCCCTGTGGCAGGCTGCCAGGGAGTTCTGGGAAGCGCTCACACCCCCCAAGACTACTGTCTGCCCTTGGAGACCTGGCCCTGACCTCCTAATGTCCCACCCTGCCCCCCACTACCCCAGCTGATGCCCCCAGGTGGCAGGGACAGGCCCTTAGCTCCCCTTCTTCTAGGAGCCAAGATAGAGTGAGCATTGCTGGCACTGAGCCTCTCTGACTAGAGGTCATTTAATCCTTGCTGGATTTGTCCTGTTTATTTTAGTGAACAGGGCTGTTTACTTTCAGTTCGTATTTCTAGGGGTGCTGCTCATTTTGCTTCCCTATTATTTACTCTTTGCAAGCACTTGGGTTTGAGTAAATATGTCTATAAAGTCCCAGGGACTGGCTTATTCTGTGTCTGGTATTTTAATGGCCTTTAAACAGTGTCTGCTCAGGTAAGCATTTTATAGATGAGTCGAAAAGATACAGAATTCTGTTCTCAGTGGCTGCTGATTCCTTCCAAGTGACGGCTGGCTGCGCCAGTAGCCTCTGAATCATGGCTTTTCATCAGTAATACAATATCAAAAGCCGACACCCATTCTGGACAGAGAAACTAGCCAACCCTGGTCAGTCAGATATGGGACTCGGGGACTCTGGTAGGTATTTCCACCTAAGGACAGTGCTTAAGGTAAGAATTACTGAGAGTGTTTTTTAAAATGCAGATCCATGAGCCCTACCCTTGAAAATTCTGCTTTGGAAGATTTACGCGAAGGCCCAGTGATATGCATTTTTAACCATGCTACAAATAATTCTATCTTTAGACCATTCTGAGAAACACTAGATTCTCTAAGCCAAGAGTGTCAAGGGCAGCCCTTGACTGCAGTGCCATGCTCAGGGACGACATGGGAGAAGCCAGGGAACCAGATCGGGATGTATGGAGTTATTTCCATTATTTTGGCCATGCTATGAGGCTTTGGGGACCTTAGTTTCCCAACCAGGGACTGAACCCACACCCTCAGCAGTGAAAGCGCCGAGTCCTAACCACTGGACTGGAGTGATTTTCATCATCACTTAGCACACTGCTGTGCCCAGGTTAGCCAAGAGGACAGTGATTATGTTCTGGTAAGCCACTTGCTCAAGGTCTAGCGTGTCAGCAGCTTGAGGGTCCCTGTCCGAAGTCCTGGTCATCTTTTTATCCCCCGGGGCAGTGCATGGCTCACAGCCTGGCGCTCTGCACTGGCTGGGGCGCTCCCACCAAGAGAGCCCTAGAACACAGGCCTGGTTACCTCAGGGTAGCCTGGGAGCCAGTTGTTGGGAATGGACGTGGCAGAGAGGCTGAGTGCCATGGTCACCTGCTGCCTCCTCTGGAGCTGAAGCTAGGTCTGTCGGAGGCTGAATGGACACCACCAGCTCCTTCTCCTGCCTTGGTTCCTCTGCTCCGACCTGCAGGGTCCTCAGTCCATCCCACAGGGCCCATTATGACATCATCAATGCAATCTGAAATAGGAAGGGTCTCATAGCACCCGGGCTTCATGGGGTAGCCTACTGTGGTCCAGGGTCTAAAGGATAACCCTTGACCTGGGGGAGGCTGTCCTGTATTCCAGGGGGCTCCATAGGTTTTTCTGTATCCACCCCCACTACCTGCAGAATGTGAGCTCCAGGAGGGCACAGTCCACATCCACTTTGTTCAGGCTGAGTCCTTAGTATCTACTGACACATAGTAAGCACTCAAAGATTTTTCTGGGTACAAGACTATATGAATGAGAGGTCTGGCTGGCTTCAGCCTTCCACTCATTTATTTACTCGACAAGCATGTTCTGTGGCATCTGTTGGAGGTCAGGCTCTTGTCCATCTGAATAAACTCCTTTCCTGCCCAGAGGAGCTCCCAGCCCACTGGGAGGATGCTGGAGACACATCCTTTGTGTAATGTTCCCTGACAAGGGCTCTATCTGAGATCTAAGGGAGATGGGGTTGTAGGGAGGAGCACACACAGTGGCAACGACAGGTCCTGAAGACAGAAAAATGGTAGTGGTCTGGCAGGATTTCCCCTGCCTGAGTCTGAGAGCCCCATCTGCCCCAGGCCCCCGTCTGTGCTGACAACCAGGCTGCTTGTTTCTGCTAATATTGCAGCAGGGTGCATCTATAGAGGCAATCTATAATACACCATTTACAGCCATAACGAAACCACAAAAATCAATTCCCAGCGCTCACTCCCATCAACAAACATGCTTGCAGGGCTTCGCGAATGTGGTGCACAGCTTTAAGTGAGGATCCTGACCCAGGAGGCTTCGAATCTCTCTGGGGAGACAGGACACATGGAAATGAGATGATGAACCACACCAAGTGAAAGAATGTATGCCGAGACGTGGATGAAGGTTCTAGAACTGCAACACAGTAGCCACTAGCCACCTGAGCACCTTGAAATGTGGCCAGTCCGAATTGAGAGGTGCTATACATTGGATTATGACAAAATATATATCTCAATTTTTGAACACTGTTTACATGTTTGAAATAATGTTTTGGATGTATGTGCATGCTTAGTTGTGTCCGACTCTTTGTGACCCCATGGACTGCAGCCCTCCAGACTCCTCTGTCTATGGAATTTTCCAGGCAAGAATAATGGGGTGGGTTGCCATTTTCTCCTCCAGGGGATCTTCCTGACCCAGGGATCCAACCCACATTTCCTGCATTGGCAGGTAGGTTCTTTACCACTGCACCATCTGGGAAGCCCAATGTTTTGGATACATTGGGTTAAATCTATTATCAAAATTAATCTCACTGGTTTCTTTTACCATTTTAAGATGTGGCTACTAGAACATTTGAAATGACACATGTGGCTCCCATTAAATTTCTGTGGACGGCACTGGTCTAGGAGTTGAGGGGAGCCAGCGAGGGACCAGTGCCCTGTGCAACTAGATTTGAGAAGAATTCTGAGGAAATATAACAATACGGAGCAAGCAGCAGGACACTGAGGATGGGTGTGGGAAGACATTTGAGCAGTCTGATCATGAAGGAGGGAGGATGGCAGCTCAAGGAGGCAACAAAGGTCCATGAACAACGCACACATCACGGACCCCTCTTTTCCTTCTGTCCCTGACATCTTCCAAAAACGTGGTGGTACCTCCAGCCACCCTCCAATGCAGTGACTCCAGAAGGCTCCTTTCTCTCCATCCTGGACAATGGGGAGCTGGCCTGTGAACTGGGTTTAGATGCTGAGTATTGGCTGACTCCCAGCCCTGGGGAAAAGGGCAGTGGTGGGGGGAAGGTAAGGGAGCTTGGGTATCCCCATGTTGGTGATGCTGGGAATATGGTCAGTGTTTGATATGGGAAGCAGTGTGGCCTGGGAGGAGGAAGTCAGCCCTCAAATCTGGCCAGACAAAACTTCCAGTGTGGACACATTTCATCAGAGGAAATCAGGCAGCCTGGATCTGATGTTCCTGTGTCTGCCCTCCCACTCAGCCACACAGAGAAGCTATAAACACTCAAATGCAAGGATTAACTCTGCGTGTGGTGTCTGGGACATTGTGAACAACTCTTGGTGGCTGTGTTTCTGTCTCTGTTAAGATTGATCTTTTTAACCCCCAGCACCTAGGATGTGGGGCTTGCTACACAGCCAGTGTTCAATAAATATTGATGGATGGAAGGAAGGAAGGAAGAAAACAAGGTGGGGAGTGGGGAGAGGGTGAGGGAGGAAGGAAAGATAAAACACGCATCTGTCACAGCACAGAAGTAGATAGTTGGAAGGGATACACTTGTTCTCCCTTAGAGTTTTGGATGTGGGCAGCATGAGGGGTCTCTCGGGCCAGATCCCACGTGTCCAGGTCAGAGAGGAACAGGTGCTCTCCACCACCCTACCAGTCACAGGGCCTTGGGCCTCCAAGCTTTGACAGTGTCTGTCCAGGCTGTAACCTTCCTGGGATAAAGCTCTGCTCCTAGTCTCTTAAGGCCTCTGTAAAAGGAAAGATAATGTGAAGAAATCCGGGAGGGCTGAATAAGCCTGATCTGGAGGTAAGGCTGGCTTGAGCTAGTTCCTGGGCCAGCAAAGGAAGGACCCCCCAAGCACACCTGAAGCCTGCAGTTTTTCCATACAGCCACTGGAGGGCACTTCGACCTTAAAATAGCAGTTGTCCGCCTCGAATCTTCGGAGAGCCCAGATTGAACAAACATTTTAAAATGATCACAATAATGATAGCTCTCCCGGCTCAATATCCAATGAGGGCCTCAATGCCTTAAACATATATCATCTCGTTTAATATTCACTACGATTATTGTTAATTAGCTATTTAGTAAAAATCGAGTCTTAAAGGAGCCAAAGAATTTACCTAAAACCCCCTAGCTAAATGCAATTTGGGAATAAGAACTTGAACCCAAGCCCCTGGACACCCATCATAAACAATGAATATACATGAAGCTGAAAAGGAGGCTCGACAGAAGCAGAGAGTCTGCTACACAAATATTGTCACTGAACAATTTACACATTCATGAAGTTGGAAGATGGCTTATGGATACTTTGTACATTTTACATGGTATTGTCCACCCCCCACCAACCCCCGCTGGAAATGATGTTATTAAATAAATGAAGTGTTTCACAATTTATGATGTCCTAACTTGGAGGAAATGAAGTCATTGTAATACAAGGCAGTTAAAGCTATTTTCATCAAACACTTAAACAGCACTTACCATTCACTGGGAACTGTTCTAACCACCTTGTGTCAAGTAACTCATAGCCACTCTGTGAGGGATGCACTATTATGATCCCCATTTACAGATGAGGAAATGGAGACCTGGAGAGGGCCACATGGCTGGTTCCAGCCAGACCTGGGGTCAGCGGCCCAGGCAGTCTCTGGAATGAATTTGGGAAACCAGGCTGGAGCTGGCCCTTGAGAGAGGAGAGGGTAAGAGTTTCCCAGGAAGTGCGCTGTGGAGGGGAGGGTGTTTCGGGCCGAGGGAATTAGCACCATGCAAAAGCTCGGACTAGCTGGGGAAACAGGCGGTCAGCAGTCAGGACCGTCTCAGGCCTGGGCTACGGAGGCCAGACGGTGAGGCTTGCTCAGCCAGAGCTCCCTGGGGCCTCCTAAGCGTGGGGAAAAGAAGAGGGGTACAGCAGGAGTGCCTGGGACGGGGCCAGGACGGGGGTGCTCCGGTGCAGGGGCGAGCCGAGCCGCCCTGCCCCCACCCCACCCCACTCCAGGGACTAACAGTTTGGGAAGTGCGGCGTGTGCTCAGGAAACGGTCGGATTGGATTACAGGGAAGATTAAAGGAGCTAAATTGGGCTTGGGGCTGGGGGAGGTGTCGGAGAAGGGAGCTGCGAAGGGCCAGCGGCTGGACGACCGGGAGAGGCGGCCGGGAGCTCGGGGTGGGGGCAGGGATCCCACTTCGGGCCGGAAGCCCTCTTGACCCCAGTAAGGCTGGAATGTGGGATCACCAAGCCAGGGCCTTCTCGCTTAGATGGAGCTGGGGGAGGGGAGGGGCAGAGACCGGAGAACCGGGGACGGAGCTGGCGGGCTGAACCCCTGGGGGATGTGGACACTGACCTAGAGGTCGTGGAGGCGGGGAGAGAAAGAGGAGTGACTTGGAGGGGAGGGGAGGCGAGCTGAGACTAGAGGAGGGGCCGAGCCGGGGCGGGGGCGGGGGGAGCGGAGACAGCCTGAGCTGAGAGGGCTTCTAGCGATTCCAGCTTGTTTGGCTGGCAAGCAGGGGGCACAGGTTGCCTGTCCAGAGTTCGTGGGGAGCCCGCTGCACTCCCCAGAGAAGCAGCTGGCCATGGCCTGGGGCCCCCAGAGCGCCCTCCTGCCGTCCTCGCCCCACCTTTTCCATCCTCTACCCCAGCCTGAGTGGCAGCACCGGCTGTGGCCCCTCCTAGCCCCCAGGGCAGGTGGTCAGTGGTCTATTCTGGTACCCAGGGTGGCTGGGGAGCCTGGGGAAGGGCGGAGGGGTTGGGGTCGGGGGTGGGGAGGGTGTGCTGGCTCTTCTTTTCGAGGCTAGATGGAAGGGGGCAATGGGGAGGGCTCTTTGGGACAGCAGGGGAGGTAGATTTCTGACCACTGCTGGCTGGGGAGAAAAAAAATTGGAGTGCTCTGTTTTCAACAAATTGTTATCTCTCAGGCCCTTTAAAATTGGAAAGCAGAGTGTATGCGCGTCCTGAGAGCTGGGGCAATGGGAATCCCCAGCAGCTGACAGTGGACCCCAGACTTTCTTTAGAACTTTGAGGACACAGGACCCAAACCCAGCCCCCAGTCCCAGTCTTCCAGGCAGCCTCTGCTAGAGAATTGTAGGTGCTGTTGTCCCAAGCCTCCTTCCAGGCCAGTGGGGGGCAGTCTGGGGCCAGGGTGCACTCAGGGGAGC